AGCTAGCATTCTCATTGTCGCTTCTGTCGATTATTATTTCATGGAATACGTACGTGAAATGTAAACGTTGAAATGCCAGGTTCTCGAATATTAATTTGAGTGTAACCGATTAGCATTATAGTTGACCGGGTATTAGCATTATATAGTAACCGGGGGGAGCAACCCTCTTTTGCTAAGACTAGAACTAGTAAATTGCAGACAATTAGACGCAGGTATTTTATATGAAATTTATGTGATGCCAAATTTTGCATTTTATTCTTAATATTGGAGTTAATTTCAAAATAACTTAGAAGATTGGGCAAAAATACCTATACGTATGTGTATTCTATGCCAAAACTAAAATTTTGTAAGACTATTTTGGAAAATTGACTACAAAAATCATAAGTTATATTCGAAAAATTCATATGTATATAATTTATTTAAATTTCAAGGTAAAATTACTTAAGTGTACAACATTGAATTCACATTACCTATATATTCTTAATTCACAATGGAGCAATTTTTGCTATAAATATTCCAACCAATTCTCTTCTACAATACAAAAAACAAAATTATATTGGATGAATACTTAGTATGTTTAATTGGCACAAAATATACTCATCTACCTTATATGTGGAATATATTGGCAAAAAAATCAGTATATAAGTATAGGTATAAATTCGAAATGTCATACTTAAGTTCTTAAAAACCACCCCAGATTGTTTCCCAATAGCATCGATTCAAATATTTTATATTTTAAAAAATTTCTTAAACAAATAGACTAAATCTATGTTAAATATTTTAATTTATATACATACATACATACTTAGATATGATATTATTGTCATTATATAATAATATTGAATAAAATTCAAGAACAATTTTATTCTATTAAAGAAAAAAAGATTGATTTTAATGGATTTTCATATGGGAAATAGACGAAAACTCACCTGAGAAATTGAAACATTGAATTTTAAGTTAAAAAAAACACACACACACACACAATGTTTTAATACTTTTTAGTGTATTTATCGATTTGTGATTGTTGTTTTAGAAAACAAGAATAGTCACTTAATAAAACAAATATAAGAAACCTGTATGCCACTGTACTGCATATGCATACATCCCGCAACATTCCAATATTAATAGTGTATATTTTAAAAAACACATATAATTTAAACAAGTACGTAAATAAAAAAAAAACAAATTTGAAATAAAAATATTAAAAAAATAATAAAAATGTTTTGAAAATAAAAATTTTATTCTATTTTTGTATTCAAATGAGCGAACAACATATGTAATGATAAAAATTGTTAATTATGCTTAATAAAATTGCATAACAATAGGCGTGCAACAAAAAAAAAGAGTGTACATCGCGACGGATTTAATCAAAATAAAATTTTTATATGTATAAGCTTTACATTGTAGAGGCAGTTTTCGAAATAATTACAAAGAAGCACAAATATTTCAGTCAGTCTAATCAAATCAACTGTATTGTACTTTGCACCTTGAAAATCTAGCTATTAAAACTTGTTTTTGAAATATTTAAATTTAACTTTTGAAGTTTTATTGCACTTACCCGAATCTGCCACTCATGTGTTAATTATAGCTCAGACATCCAGCTAAAATTAGCTTTTGGATATCTAAGTAATAATTGAACACATGACTGATTTTTATAAGAGATTTGAAATTAAAATTCGTTTTCTAATATTGTATATTTTTTATATAAACTAAGACTATCACAGTTTTTGATTTCTGAAAGCAATTCATTATAGATTTTGTAGACGACGTTGTATACTGCATCACGCTTATTAAACGATTAAATTCTTACTTCATCAGCATTTCTTCTCACATATGTGTGAGTATTTTTATTAAAATATGGTTTGATATTCGTTTTTATATTGTTGGTTTCCATAAAATTTACCTGAAGCTCAAATTTACTGTGTATAAGTAAATTTAATGGTATTATTTGGTTTTCGTAATGAATTTATTTTATTCCGGTTTATTTTTTCTTAATCATACAAATTTTTATTGGTCCTGTTCTGCATTTTTTGTAGCAGACTTTTGTGTTTTTTAAAAATATATTTATCTAAATATTTTAAGAAACAGCTGAATGAAACATGCTCTAGTATTTTTATCGCGTGTGCATCGTCTTCATAAACTATTGGCAAATCGTCTGGATGCGTATATTGTGTGTCTTTCAATTTTAAATTTAGTAGGCTACTTATATAAATCGAGAAGAGGGTCAGCCATAAGATATCACTAGTAAACGTATCGAACGCCCTTGTTGTATCAAAAAATACTGTTGTTACTTTGTTGTTGTTATCAATATCAACATAACCTTTGGATACCATATTAAATAGAGCAGCTTGGGTTCCTGATTGAGTTTTTCTATTTCTTTATTTTTGTTTTGACAATTATTTACCTTTGTTTGTTTCGTTTGTTTTTAGTTTCGACATTTGTTCCACTTCTACATTTTCACTTCTATCGCATTGTAGTGTTAAGTATACCTATATGAAATCTAAGTAGCCCTTATCACATGCCATCCATGCCACATTCTACCTATATGATATTCCAGAAATGAAATTTGTGACGACGGTAACACCTTCTTAAGAATTAAGTTGATTCTAGTTCGTTATTTTGCTTTGTGTATGAAATTTTTATTTTGATCTACTAATCGTAAAAATTTTTAATAATTATTAATTTAATTTTAAAATATTTTTTTTTTGAATTAGTTTTAAAAAATATCAACTTTAAAAAAAAATCAATTAAAATTTCATTGTCTCTTGTCAGGAATGTCAGAATCTCAATAAATTGCTATTTTTATTGACATAATTTATTCTTAAATATGAAAAGTCACTTAATACCATTAAAATTTGTTATTTGTTAAAGGAAAAAAGCAATATCTACTCGACTCCTAAATGAGTAACTTTTCCTTGAAAAACACAAAGTACGAATTGTATAGTAAATTTTCATAAAAAAATATAATTTCTATTATATAAATAGATTAGGGTCATAAAATCAAAATTTTATGTTGAAAAAAAAAATGTTTCTTCCATAAAATATTCCATTTTCTTCCTTTTAACATTATCTAATAAAAAGGACTCGATTATGTCCTAAAAGCCAGACATTTAGTACATAGAAATAGAAGAACCCTTCCTTTCATAATCAAACCTGTTTTTATACTCATACCACACACAACAACAATATTTTTATAGAAAGTAAAAAAAATTTTCCTCTTTTCCCTTTTCTCCTTTATATCTATATATAGGAATATGTGCTAAAGCCATTTTCAAATGAGTTACAGCCCTTAGGATAAGTATAGAAGGTTAACGTTTTTAAAAGCTTAAATACGGATACACGCACACACATGTATCACAAATTTAGTCCTATATTCTCACGAAATAAAAATTATTCAAAGGATTCAAAAGGATATATAGACATTATTATCATGATATATTTAGAAAAGTTTCATGCACAAACAAAACAAAAAAAAATAAACCAAGAAAATGTTAAAGGAAACAATCAGAAGAGAAGTGATGACAAAATGATGACACCGAAAAGTATTGAAAAAGAAAAAAAAAATAAAAAAAACTTCAAGTTTGGAAAAAAATTTAAATAATTTGTTTTCACTTTGTTTTTTTTTTACAAGGATGTTATTGTTTTCAATTGTAAGGAATAAAAATAAAAGTGTAAAAACGAAAAAATAAAAAAATTAATGAGATTTGGCAGAATAATAAATGGGATCACAATTACAGCGATTTTATACCATTTTCCTTTCTTCTTTTAGAGGGAAAAAAAAAATTATAAGCATTTTGTTTAATGCCAGTAACATTCAAAATATTTTATGAAAATTTTGGTAGATTTAAGAGTTTGAACAACACAGAAGAAGAGATTAAGAGTTTGTAACCTAAGAAGAAGACCTAGGCTCCTGAAAAACTACAGTATGGCAACCAAATCAAGCTGCAGGATCCTTACCGGGGTCACAAAGTCCCCCTCCCCGAAGCATCTCAGTCGCAGGCGAGCAACCGCCTCGCACTCACATAGTAAATGCTCCACGATTTCGTCCTCCTCCAGGCATAAACCGCAGACCTCATCCGCCACCCTGCACATCCTTTTCAGATGGACCCTCGAATGGTAGTGTCTAGTGAGAACCCCCACTAATGCCCTCAAATTTGAACGACTGAGCTTGGCCAGACTCCGTCCTCCCAGTTCCAGGGGAGGCACAAATTTCTTAGAGTGCGACAGGCCCAAGTAGCCGCTCAAACCTGGCCCGCTCCTCCCATCCACTCAGGGCAAGCAAGACCGTTGTCGTGTGCACCCTAAAGTATGGCTCCGGCTCAATGGAAGGAGCCACCGCTAACTCAAGGTTAATTTGTTGTGCCTAGCCAGGACGCCAAGGGTGTGAATGCATTCTTTCAGCAACCTGGATCCTACACATTAAACGAGAGGGCCCCAAGAAAGTCTTAGCAGGGTCTTAAATATCTTCAGTTTTATAGATCTTCTTGATAATACTTTCGATCGCATGAGTTTAATGTGAGAAAAATAACATTTATTCGCCGCATTAATTTTTTCTTCATCAATAATAAGTACTGTGTCTAAAATCCGAAAGAATATCAAAGTTTGACTTAAACGTCTCATAAATGTACATTTATGTAAAGGGCCAAAGCCCATAGACAAGAGCCGGAGGAAATGAAATGGCTGTGAGGTGCATCCACATAAATCTACAGCATGCTAGGGCATCTACTGATGTTCTAGCTCATAGATGTATAAAGGATCACCTCGATATTGCCCTTATCCAAGAGCCTTACATAGTGAAGGATCAGGTTAAGGGCCTAACAGGTATGAGCTATTGTATGATAATACAATTGGGAGCAGGCCTATGGCTTGCATTTTGTTTAATAAAAGGCTAAGGTATTTTCCCATTCCAGATTACTGTTCTAAGGATCAGGTAGCTACGTTGGTTAAGGTGAAATCATCTTACCTCCCGGGAGACTGTGCCCACCCGGACGAGCAACTGAGGGATCTAGTGGACTTTTGTGGATGGAGGAACTTCCAACTTATAATAGGAGGTGATGCCAATGCCCACCACACCGTCTGGGGAAGCAGTAATATAAACAAAAGAGGTGAGTGCCTACTTGAATTTATATATAACAATAAATTAATGGTTATGAATGAGGGCAATAGGCCGACATTCATAAATGCAATTAGGGAAAAGGTCCTTGACATCACCCTTTGCACTGAATTTATCAGCAGTAGGGTTGGTGGATGGCATGCCTCAAATGAGACATCCATGTCCGATCATAGGCAGATTACGTTTGATACCATGGTCTCCGAGGGCCTGGCAGAAGAAATGTATCGGGTACCCCAATCCACAGATTCGAGTCAATTCGAAACGCTGCTCCTCGATGGGATTGGATCAGTTCCTGCTTCTGTCAGAACGGTGATGGATATCGAACTGGCCAGCGAGACTCTGACGGCGGCGATTACTAATGCCTACCATGGGAGCAGCCGCGCTAAGCCGAGTCGGAGCAATAGGAAGTGCCCGTAGTGGAATGAAGAGCTTTCAAGGCTTAGACTAAAGACCAGAAAGCTATTCAATAAGGCCAAGGCGTCGGGTTCGTGGGAAGAGTGTAAAGACTCACTCACAAAATATAATAAAGAAATTAGGAAAGCGAAGAGAATCTCGTGGAGGTCGTTCTGCAAGGGCATTGATCAACTCTCCAGTAGTGCGCGTCTTCACAGGGTGCTTTCCCAAAAGTATGCTAGCGGGTATGCTAGCTCCCTGACTGAGAACGGAAAGCAGACGTTGGAGCTTATGGCGTCAACGCACTTTCTTGATTCGGAGATTCTTCGGAATCACTCAAATGCGGTCATTGAACCGAGGGCATCCTGGCCTCAGGCATGGAGGGAAAGTAACGTATATTCCGAAGGTGGGTAAGCGACCAAGCAACCACCCAAGGTCTTTCCATCCAATCAGCCTTACTTCTTTTCTATTGAAAGCAATGGAAAAAGTGATGGATGGATTTATACGGGACGATGCACTGGGAAGCAATCCCTTGCATGAATCTCAGAACGTCTATCAGTCGGGAAGGTCTACTGTACTCGCTCTGCAGAGTCTGGTGGGGGTCCTTGAAAACTCACTGGAGGTGCGGGAGGTGGCAGTTGGCTGCTTCCTTGATATAGAGGGAGCTTTTGACAACACCCCATATCATGCCATCTGTGAGTCGTTGCACAAACGAGGGATTGATGCGACGACTAGCAGATGGGTTAATCGGATGCTACAGGATAGGATTATTAAGTCCACCATAGCTGACGATATACTCTTCATCTCCGCTGCAAAAGGGTGTCCGCAGGGCGGGGTTCTTTCGCTTCTCCTGTGGTCCATTTTAGTGGATGATCTAATCGCTGCTCTCAGGGGCTCCGGGGCGCGTGTCTGGGGATACGCCGACGGTATGGCCTGACGGCCCTTGCTGGGCCCATCGTCACCTATGCGTCGATTGTATGGTGCCGTAAGGCTCAGCAGGCGGGTGTGCGGGCCAAGCTGGAAAAGCTACAGAGGCCGGCCTGCCTGGGAGTGACCGGGGCAATGCGGACGGCTCCCACCGCTGCATTGGAGGTAATGATCGGATTGCCGTCATTGCACCCCCATATATTGAAGGAAGCTCGGCTAGTGACTTACCGACTTCTCTCTAGCAAGGACGGGGCAGGGCTAAAGTTGGCCCACAGGACTTACAGAAACTTCATTGAGAGCGATCCGATTCTAAGAATAACCATGTCGGATACCTGTCTGCCGCGGTACAACTTCGACCACAGGTACAGGGTTCTGTTTCCCGATCGGTGGACGTGGGATCGGGGTGGCCTGGTACTTAGGTCGGGTTCGAGCGTGTAGTATGCGGACGGGTCCAAAACGGAGTCGGGTGTGGGTTCGGGCGTATACGGTGTCCGCCCTTGACCCGTATTGCACAGTGTTCCAGGCCGAAATACATGAAATAGAGATCTGTCTGAGAATCAATTTAGAAAGGGGGTATAGAAACCGCACCATCTATGTGTTCTCAGACAGCAGGGCTGCACTGCTGGCGCTTCCTTCAGCTCAGGTTACATCTAAGCTGGTCGGGGGCTGCCTTGCTGCACTTATGGAATTGGCATCGGAGAACAGAGTGACGCTCATTTGGGTGCCGGGCCATAGTGGCCATGCGGGCGGAATGCGGCCGTCACTGGCGGGACACGAAAGGGTGCCGTCATGCGAAAGTGTTTCTTTCAGTGTACTCCAGCGGATTCACCGCAGAGCTGCTGGGGATGAGCAGGTGCCGGGTTCGCACTATTGCGAATTTCTTCACGGGGCACTGCCCTGTACAGGCTGGGGAAGTCGGGCTCCCCCCTGTGCAAATTTTATGAGGGTGGCGATGAGACCGCCGTGCACATTCTCTGCGACTGTCCTGCACTGGCTGTTCGGCGCCGCAGTTGTCTTGGACATGGGTCCCTAAGTGTTCGGGAACTGTTGTCCAACTCCCTTAGGGATATCTCCGGCTTTGTGGTTGGGACGCGGATATTATAGGCGAGAGCGTGGGGGGCTACAATAAGTCAAAGAATGGCTGCGGTGGCTTGGGGTGTTACTCCTGTCCCACTCGGTTCCCTTAGAATCTATCTATCTATCTATGCTTGTTAACTGAGATGAAGATTGTTTACCGAGCCCAAAGCTAAAGGTAATAAGAGTGGAAATTAAAAAAATAAAGAATATAAAATATTAAAGAATAACATAAAACACTGGTATGGTTATACTGAAACGAAGTTTGGAATGGAAAAGTTACCATTTACTAAGGAACAGAAACTCGAACCGAACTATGTTGAAAAATTATAGGTCTACCCACTTTTGTTGATAAAAGTTTGAAAAACGTTGTTCAAATATCAAAGTTAGTTAATAATTTTAAGTTGTTTTTTACCAATTTAATTTCACCTGTTCATTTTCTTTTTATAAATCAGAAAGCTTCTCATTTCACTTTAATTTAATAACAAAGGAATAAGGACAGCATAATAAAAGCTGAAAGAAAAAAGAATCTAACCTTTTTTTTTTTGATTAAATTCTAATTTTTGACTAAATTTAACTCCCCCCTAATCGTATAATATAACAGAACACATACACTGAATTGATTTTATAATTCTCTTGTATATTACTCGTAAGTGAGAGAGATGTATGGTAGTTGGTTCTTAAAATTCTTTATTTACCGATGTTAGCAATAAATTATTTTTATTTTTTTTTTAAATTTATAAAGTGGAGCAAAATTATTATTAATTTATAAACACTTGAAAAAAGGTGTGAATGTATATAAGTGTGTGTATGTGTGTGTGTGTACTGTATATCAAATTTAAAGTATTAAAAAGATGAATCGTCTTTAATTGATGATTTTAACAATATGTGATTGTCGTGATCGTTTTAAATGGTAAGAGAAAAGTAATTTTCATAACAGGTTTTTAAAATATTCTAATGATGAAAGTTGTGAATTATTTAGAAAAAATTAACAGACTTTCAAAGTCATTCTCACAGGATTTATTTTAAGAAGAATAAAATTTTTGATTTCAATTTTCATATTATTCAATTCATATATAATATTTGTGAATAATAAATTATAAAATGATTAAAATATTTAAATTCAGAATTAATGGTATACAAGATGCAATAAATAAAATGTGAAGGTATCAATCAAGAAATATACAATTGAAATGCTTTCAATCAACTTAATTGGAACGTGATTTCATAAGTAAAAGAAAGATTAAGTAAAACAATTTAACAAATAATAAAATTTGCAGACGATTTATGAATAGGATGACGTTTTGCAAATTACCCCAATAAAAATCATCAAAATTAAAGTGATTATGTGCTTCAGTCTGCACTTACTTGAATCTCTTATGAAACTTCGATGTCTATCACAAACATATAGACAAACGCAGATTTGTGAGAAATCTATACTTGTTACACCTTTTCAAGGTGCAGTTCTGCTTCAATAAAGTTTTGTTTGTTATTAGTTTTTAAAAATCGAAACAAACTTTGTACTCCCAATATAATAACCTTACTTTTACGAGTAATTAGGATATTCTTAAAATTTTTCTCTAAAACACAGAAACTCATTAATATTAAAAAAAAATTATCATTTACTAATTTTAAAACTGACACTAGATTTTCTAAAGAGACTTAATTTTGAATGTACTTATAAATAAGAAATCCACAAAGAAGCAAACACTCAACAGTACTAATATAAAATCTAAAGAGAGTTTATCTTTTCCAGTTGATATCCCAATTTCTATTAATCTTTCAATTCAAAATATTAATTCAATTACCTATAGCCATCATTAGTATTTAGAGTAAAATTGATTGCCAACAAGCATCGATTTGATTTTGATAAATATTTGTTAATGTGATGTATACGCCTATTTTTTATTAAAAAAAAAAGTTTCTTTAATTTACTTCACTTAACACCTTCGAAAAATTTGTTTAGATATTTCAAAATAATATTTTCGACTAAATTAACACCTTTAAACGCATAGTTAACACAATTACCAAATTATAAATGAGTACGAAAATATTACATTGAGTAATTTGACGTGAAAATAAAGAGAATTCCGAGCAGAAGTCAACAACCTTTTTTTTTGTCTGCAAATCAAAATGAACTAATTTTTGGTTGGTATTAATTTGGCAAAATATGCCAATTAAAAAAAAAAATTCGATAAGGGGAAAATTTAGTAACCGCATTGCATACAATAAGGGGGATTGTTTGATGGAACCAAATTTCATATTAAGAGTTTTCGGCGGAATTCAGTTTCTCCATGCTGAGAAGGTATAAATAAACTATTTTAGAGAGCTGTCTGTCAGTTTTTCTATCTGTCTGTCTCTCTGTTGGTCTGCCTATCAGCCTGTCTGTGCAAACTTCGAGGATGAGACAGATTGATTGATTTTCGTGATATGTCAAGTCACTGGAGAACTAAATCTTTACACTATTGACCAACTTTATGTTTTTGACTATTTTCATGAACCAGTAAATTATTCGAAAAGCAGGGCTCGGAAACTGAGCTTGGCGCGAATTGTACATTTTTTGCTATATCTAAGGAACTGATTGACGCATTTTACTGA